CATTGGGCCAGTATTCCAAAGGTCGTAGGTTCGAATCCCGCCGTGGCCAGGCATATTTTTCAAGCCTGCCCGGTGTGGATATACACTCAGAGTAACATCGCACAAACATCTTATTCACCTGAGTACATTACACCAACACAGCAGATTTCATGATTATTAGATGACACCGATATCGCAGAACTAGACTCAGTTCCGAAATATTGCATATTCGAACCGTCCTGACCACGTAGCTCAGTTGGAAGAGCATTGGGCTAGTATTCCAAAGGTCGTAGGTTCGAATCCCGCCGTGGCCAGGCATATTTTTCAAGCCTGCCTGGTGTGGATATACACTCAGAGTAACATCGCACAAACATCTTATTCACCTGAGTACATTACACCAACACAGCAGATTTCATAGCTTGCTATTGTTCATATATGGCGAATAAATTGACAAAACGAAAATATTAGATGGCGTTCCATGAAAATAACAACAAGAATTGCGGACGTGCAAGCGAAAAGAAACGATGGGAGAAATTAAATATAATAGAAGGGATGAAACAAATATCACACGACTTTTTAAAATGCTTCTAGACTATCTGTGTAACAGGTTTTCTTGCCATCCTACTTTTTCCTACTTTTCTTCAACTTTCCTACTTTTCCTAGTTTTTATTAAAAATTACTTCATTTTCCTACTTTTTCCTACTTTTCTCATAAAATCGTACTTTTGTAAGACAGTTTGGGGAATCAGTATGTTATAGCTCTCGTAATTAGATCTATAGGACTCGTAATTTCCAAGTATAAAATTCCATAGCATCTCTAGAATCATAATCAATAAATTAATGAAGACTCTGAAATTTCAATTTCTGACAATCTAGAGATTCCAAATATTCACCTCCCCCCTCAGTTAATCAAGTATCATATGCTGAGGTGGTGTGGATTTAGTGTATGGTGCAGCCAAATACATGCACTCACACTCATAATGCATTTGAATTGTGTTGCTGCAGAGTAGGGATGCACCGGAACCAATTTTTCCAGGGGATTGCTTTTGTAATCCAGGGGGTTGCTTTTGTGATCCAGGGGGTTGCTTTTGTAAACCACTTTAAGAATGGCTTGCTCAAAAAATTGAAGAGTTCAAATCGCGTTTTTCTTTCCCTATGAAGCATTTAGAGTGTTCTTTATGGGCTATAAAAATTTTAATCAATTTGATCCACTGTAAGTTCACCAAATAGCAGTTTAAATTTCTCGCCTGCGCAGAGCCTCTTTTAAGGATGTATAACTGGGTGGCTGGCGGGGGGGGGGGTACACATTTCACGGGGGACCTGGAGAAGTTCCAGTCGGCAAGTCTGTATCACTGCAGCTACCAACACATATATGCATGATTTAAATAATACGTATCCGTCATAAGATCAGGCCTGTAACTAGGAGGAGACAACCGAGTCGACCACAGAAGGTGTGAGCCATCAAGAGGGGTCTGGGGGTGTATACCCCAAGAAAAGTTTGGATTTACTGAATCTCAGATAAGCTATTTCCAGCATTTTGAGGAGTGTTCCAACAAGAAATTAACTGAATGTATAACTTCCCCCGCCACTTCATGCCAAGCAGATGATGTTGCGACGGCAGTAGTGACGTTACGATATGCGCTTTGGATGTCAAACTTAGCCATGAGTGCACCCCGACCTAATTTGGTGACCATGGCAACGACTTCGTCGAATTTTATATACTGCAGAGAAAATTGTTCGGGGTCAATACCATCATTACGACAAATCCAAAATCAAACGCCACTTTCCTGGTTGACCAGCCATGGGGATCACGCCAAAACTGCTAACGTGCAAATTAGGTAGCGGGCTGCTAAGGAAAGGATTGGTTACCCGTCCCAAAGCAACTTCGTTCTGCAGGTACGCATCCACAATCTCAGGATGGGCAGTTGCTGAAGCTTTATTTTTTCGTGCAGAGGTTACAGGAAACTGGGGGGAGAAAACCAATGTCAAAGCTGTGGGCAATCCCACTGACAACATAACCACTTTCGAACGATCCGGATGGGACTGGAGTTCGCAGGAAAATTGATGCAAATTAAAAGAAACCACAGAAACGGGAGGGAGAGTGCCTAGAGATCAATTAGAGGCACATATTAAGGATGCAGCAGAGGAGTAGCAGAGGACTATGTACAGCTAGGCTATCTCTACCGGTGTAAAGGCTAGACTACCACAGGCATTAGAATAGAGTTAGCCAGAGCAAAGGGGTCTACTAGTATACAAGCGCAATGCTAGCCGAATACCACAGTGCGAAAGAGCGATTGGGTTACAATCCACCAATAGCCACATAATACTAATAATTTATTCATTTATTCAGATATACATGTAACTCCACTGCATAGTTTTCACCGATGTCAGTGATTTCTAAACATACTTTTAAGAAACACACAAAAGCGTTGGCAGGCTTTAACTGTCCATGTCGGTTGCCAGTGACTCCTGGCATGCTGATGAGCTCTGACAGTGAGCGAAACAGTTCGAAATTAAACATGATCCTGAATCGAGTTTTTTTATTGGTGATCAAACTGCCATCTTTAGCTAAAATATGTTAAATTTGCAACGTTTTGCCCCTTCGTGAGGTCAAAGAATATTGAAATAGGTTTTTGTTATTGAATTTTCAATTCTATCATGTTCTGTTAAAGGTTCAAAACCCTGCATGGATAAACATTCATGACCAAAAAAAGAATCCTTTTGTTCCTGCGATTTGGGCATTGAATTATAAGATCCAATTTGACTGAATGGATCAAATTATTCTTGACACTTAAAAATAAAGAAGAAGGGTATGGCAAGGCAAACATAACTCCATACATTCATGTGCTTGTGTGTCACATACCAAGGTTTTTTCAAAACTCTGGTGTTAAAATGTTCACTGGTCAGAGAGTGGAGAAAACAGATGTTGTTCGCTCCATTTATCACACTAAATCAAATATCATGAGGAATGTAAAGACACTCTTCTAGCATTAAAACGACGAGACTGTTTGAAAGGATGCCAAACAAATATGTAAAAAAATTGAATATTGGACAGCCGACATCTTTGAAGAGAGATAAAAGCGTCCCTGTAAGTGACACCTAGAAATGTATGAAGCTAACACACATGCCTTTGCTCACTATAGTAACCACTGTATAAAGCCCTTGCAATTCTCAATGGCAATTATTATCAATAAATTTAAAGTGCCCCTGACACAAAAAAATTTTTTCAGTCTATTGAAAGTACTCATTTAGTATAGTGTTCTAGCGAAAGAATTTTTCGATTTCATCAAAACGAAAAATTTTTAGAGCCATTTGAACACACAAAATTTGGGCTTTTGGTTGGCAGGCGTCCGTGTTCGAAGGAAACTGGAACAAGCAATTTTTGTTACTCAGGCATGTTAATGCCTGGGTCTGCCCACGCTTGGATGATATCTTGCGCGCGTGTTGCACGCGCGATCTGTCAGTAATGCGTCTGTTAGAATATTCGCCCCTTGTGTGAGTATTTTAGTGAATTCGGGCGTTTGCTTCAAATCAAAATATAGTATATATGAGCGACAGGATTATTTTGGAATATACAATGCAAAGAAGTCGGTATACTATTCAGTTTTGATGTAATAATTGGCTCTTTGTATAGCAATAAGTATTGTATCATTTGCGACAGCTGACCTTTGAACTGCTGATAAATAAAAGCTTCTTATAGTGCGCTATCTTGCGATTATTCAGTATTAATTGTTGACTGTTTCTTATTTTCAATGAAAAATTGCTTGTGAATTACAAATTAATAGCACATATAGTTCACTCGGTCTTTTCCACCATGGCATACTTCCCTTCAAGCATTAACTATGCTTCAAGATATCGGCTTGAATGCGCAATGAATGTTGTTATTGGAAATATAATATCCCTTACAATAAGCGGCAGACTGTTTCATTATGGCGCGTGAAATTCATCACGCGAAAAACGCGTTCGACTTGCAGCAGGGTAATTTGACGAAATTTTGCTATTTTTGTTAGCTAAAAACATTAACAAGGGAACAAAGTTTCCTGCGTTAATTTGGAAACCGTACATTTATTTGTAGATAACATTTAATGACGCGATTAACATTCGTTTGATGCCGATCATCGTAATATAGCCGCATAAAATAATGAAACGAAGCCTAAATGTAAACTTTCCGAATTTATTCAATAAACAGTGATATTATGTGTGAATGATTATCGCAATTCTGCGTCCTCTCAGTCACGAAATATACTGCTGCAGAGCCTCTGAATAAAAAGTATCATTTTTTGTGTTGTTTTTCGAAATATACATCACGTGATCGTTGCCATGACAACGAAAAGTAGGTCAACTTTTAGAATCTCCTTTGATAAATCATATAAAACTTGAATGGTAATAATCAAGGCCATACTTATTTTTTTATGATTTTTTGTTTATTTTCGCTAAATACACAAACTGAGACCCAGGCATTAATGTACCTGAGTACGTCACGCAAGTGAGTCGGCGTATATTCTTTTATTCAACTATACTAGTACTATGAACTCTCGGCGGATATATAATGTGATCGAAAAAGATATGCCTTTGTACTGTGTTGCAGCTAACTGTACCAATAAAGTATGTTTAAAAGATGGAATAAGTCTACACAATATTCATACTTCAATGACAAACACGCGGAAGCTAAAAGAAGAACTAGTATGGGTTGATTTTGTATGTGCAAAGGATCTGTTTGTGCCGTCAAAGACTTCGACTATATGCTCGAATCATTGTAGAACAGAGGATTACGAGAGGCATTTTTTTTGTTGCCGGGGCTCGGCAAACCTAACTATCTGAAGCTAATAAATGCTGACGATGATTTGCTTTGTTTTGATGATTCAATTTGCAATTGTATTTCGGTTTTGCGGGCCAGCTAAAAATATAAATATTTTGTAATACCGAAGTGAAAGATGCAAATCTGAAGACACAAGCTTGAAAATATGACTCTAAATAGTGTTTTGGATTCCGGTTCGAATAAGACTATTGCGAAAAAGATATGTCCAAAGGGGCCGAAATTATGGTTGGCTAAAGGTATGGCTACTTTACATTGTTCAAGACTAATTGAGTAATATAATGAATTATGACACCGCTTGACCTCTCGGGGGTCATAAATAGCTATTTGACTACAATTTGACTAAAACTATATTTGACTAAAACTATCATTGGAAATAAGGAGATTTTGTTTCACTCAATCGAATGGTAGTAATTTTGTCTTTATAGCATGCACCGAACCGGAGATATGAACCTTGCAAAGTCATAGAACGTCTACGTTAGTAGGAAGCTTATTAAAGATGCGCCAAATCTGAGACATGGCGCCACTAAAAAACAATTGCTAACTGATAAATGGGAGACTAGTTTTACTTTGTGTTTCTCGTATCCCTGATTTTGTTTACCAACAACAGTTTTTATCCGTGAAGTGAAACTGTGGTAATAGCGGCAGTTTTTCGTCACGTCCGCGTCGAAGATTTGGTATATTAATGATACCACTAGAGACTTGACGAGATGCAGCTACAGATCAGCACTTCCAATACATCATATTAACCAGGTAGAAAATTCGCTCCAGAATCATCGGACTGATTCTGTTGACATAATACTTTATAGAACTTAGAATATAAAAAGTTAAACACTTCAGCGAACAAAACATTCGAGCTGATTAAAACAGATAACTTAACAGACCATCAAGACTCGACTCCCTTGCGTGACATCAGAATAAATGCTAGTGACAGACTTCTGTCACCGACGGCCAATAGCCAAAAATATTTGGCTCTCAAACGGCTCTAAAAAATTTTCGTTTTGATGAAATCGAAAAATTCTTTCACTAGAACACTATACTAAATGATTACTTTCAATAGACTGAAAAAAATTTTTGTGTCAGGGGCACTTTAATAATGCCCTCGAATTACTGACATCAATTGCTTTTGCCAATACAGACTTTCATGCACAATGCCATCTCAGCTTAATTATTTATGCATGATTAAGATGGGATGTTGTCAAAATTGCCAGGGCTGTGTACAGATCAGTGTTCCCTTAAACTGTCTACACCACAAGGGTTAGTTGTAACATAGAATGAAACAGTCTCTTGTATAAACGAGGGAGCTTGTACACAAGCATTGTTTTCATCTAGAGTATAATGTGAAGACGACTTTCTCAGAATTGGTTTAGCTCTGATGGGGAAGTCAACTTTACTTCCTTCTCCCTTCTTTAAACAATACCACCATGATTCGTCCAGTAGAGGCATCCTATCGAAATCATGTTTATCAAGGAGAAGTGTACCTGCCATGTTTGCGGGATGTCCTTTTCCATTAAACAAAACCTGGTCAATGTTAAATATTGGATTCAGCGACTTGGACTTTAACTTCCCCTTTAAACAACACAATAACTTCAACACGGCTTCATGCACCCTTTTGCTGTTTGGCTTTGGATTGTCATAAAGATACACATTTCCCTTATTTTAATTTTTACAGGTATTGTAAATATCATCTCAGCTTTATATGTAAATTATTCTCCTGTATAAACATAATTTAAATATACCTTATTAGGTTCTCAGGGATATGTTCCTGTGGCTCCCAAGTGCACTCTGCTTTGCTTTCCTTTCCATCCCATTGTTCGGCCTGCTTGTGTTTTTTGTCATTAACAATATATTTAAACAATTTACGAGATGAGAGTTCGCGTCTAGAGTGTAATTCTCCATATTTTAAACCAGGGTAGACGATTCGCATAGCACGCCTTTGAATGTGTTCAATTTCATCGGACAGGTAGTTGGGAAGACTTTGGTGGAACACCTGGCATGAGTATTCTAGGGTTGATCTAATAACATTACAATAGAATAGGACAAGATCATCATGGTTAATTCCTGCTCCTTTGAGCTGCTTTAAGAGGTATAAGCGTTCGGAAGCTTTGGTGATAATAACTTCTATGTGATCGTTCCATTCAAGATCATTCCTTACCGACATCCCTGGAATTTTGGCCGAAGATAGTCACTCAAAGTTTAGTCCATTTACTTCTAGTTGGATGTAAGACGTAGGTGTTCTCTTAAAGCAGGTTAGGATTTCTTTGCACTTGGATGGTTTTAGTTTGAGGCGATTTTCCTGGGACCAAATGTTAATGTGGTTGACGGCTTGCTGTAAGTGACTTGCTCTTGATGGTGGAATAATCTCTGAAATTGTTATGTCATCAGCAAATTTCCATGTAAATAACGACTCTCCTGGTGGTTTGAGGTCATTGATCATCACAAGGAATAACCAAGGGCCAAGTTGTGTACCTTGTGCGACTCCTGCAGGGACATTAAGCCAGTCCGAGTGGCAGTTCCCATTTAACTTAACTTGTTGTCTGTTCCGTAAAAATCGATAATCCAATTAACACTGGTTGGCTTAACTCCCAGGCTGAACAGTTTGGAAATCAGTATTTGGTGGTCGACCAGGTCAAAAGCTTTCTGGAAGTCGAGAAGTGCAGTTTTTATGGTTGCACCAGTGCCATCAGTAGCATGTAACCAACGATGTAACATGGAAATAAGAGCAAACGTTGTTGAAGAGTGAGGTATGAAACCATATTGGCAAGGATCAAGGGCGGGTAACACAACAGGTTTCACAGACTTTTCGATTACAAAGACCTCAGCGATTTTCGACAGTGTTGATGTTAGAGATATTGGTCTCAGATCTTTATTATAATCGGAGATGGTAGAAGCTTTAGGTAAAGGCGCAATATCAGACAGTTTCCATACGCAGGGGACTTTATTCTCTGAAAAGGAGGTGTTAAGGATGTCAGTAATATGTTCTGCTAAGATGTCCGCAAATTCTCTAAGGACCCAATTGGGTATATCATCAGGGCCACCAGCACGAGAGATATTGACTGCCAGGAGTTTCTTTAACACAGCTTGTTCGGTTACAGATATTGGCTCATTATCGTCTATTTGCACTTGTACACTATCAGTCAAAGACGAGTAATCCTTCATTGTATCAATAAACGCTTAATTGATGTTATAGGATATTCTTTTGCTAGTTGACATACATATCCACGTTCTAATTAATGCATAGTTCAATTCTTCCTGTTACCATCCCCCGGGCAACCCCTGGGGATTTGTGTGCCGAAAATTCCCAGGGGTGGGGGATTTCATTGATCGTTTGGTCCTGGGGGTTGGGTTTGGGAATATTTATCATTTATAGACCCGGAGCGAGGTTCGGCCGAATATTAGCCATATCACCAAGGGTAATATTTCAACAAACCCCCCGAGCGGAGGGTCTATAAATGATATATTATACTGAATGTTAAAGAACCCACCATGTTTAGAATAAACTTTAAAACTTGAGTTCAATACAATTTTTAATTTCTTATGTATACCTGAGTTTTTGACGTTTTCTCTTTAAAATATTTGAGCATGTATCCTTTGGATCATTGAAGGTAACAAACGTCTTGAAAATCTTTGGTTAACTTAAATCAATATACAAATCTTCTATATGAAATTACAAACAACAGCTTGCGAATGCCATATTGTTTCAGAGCATGGTCTCCACACGTCACACATGAGATACTATAATATCCCACAGTGGATCTACCATCTATCTCACTGCATTGCAAAATCATGGTAGTACAAATGCTGTTTTTTGATTGGACAATTTGAATTTGAGGTATAATATTTATAGTTATGGCACATATTATATAATATGTCTGCATGAGGTGATTGGACTTTAATAGCCTGCGAACCCGAGAGAAGCCGTTTCTTGCAAGATCTATCAAAGATGGCGGAATATTTCACTGGCAAACATTTCCAGTTTGTTTGCAACTGGTTGAAGAACAATAATCTTGATAAGCCCAATCCTATTTTTGAAGATATGTCTTCTGTTTTTATATTGATGGAATAAACATATTTTGAGTAATACATTTTCATTTTGCAAGTGTGCAAAGCATGACCATGTAAATAATTTAAATTTTATATTTATTGATTTTAATATTTATGATATGGAGTAGCTATTTTCACCATTAATAGTTATTAAGGGGTGCAGGCTACAGAGACCCTATAGAGAATATTAAAGTCAAGAATCTGGAAGTGGGGTCATCAACTGAAGTCTGTAGTTTTGGGGGGATCACTGAAAAATGTGATGGACATGGAGTGGGAGGGGCTCACATAAATTATGAATGCATGCTCCCTTATATTTAAATATAAAATACAAATACGATTTCTACAACAATACAATTTCAGGTAGCCTGTGCCACAGACAAATACAAATAATCCAGTAGTTCTTTTATAATCCAGTGGTTGTTTTATGCAGGTTTTTCCTGCACTATGTATAAATAAAGTAAATAATTTTAGTAAAGTTATTAACTTTGAAGTTTATATTCATATATATATATATAAAGGTATTTGAATGTGGTTTGGTTCACAAAATGCCAAAGAGTGCTCGATATCATTTAAATAGAGCAGAAATAATTGTTTTACCTCAAAAGGTTGCCACAACAGCCTGTTTCATCCTGGGTTCATTTGTAGCAACTATTTCTGTTGTGGCAACCATTTGAGGTAAAGCGACCAAAAAAGTATAAAAATATATTTCACTTTTGCCTCAAAAGGCCACTACATTCTGTTTCATCTGTAAAGATGAGCCCACAACTCTTGTGTCTGTCAGAGATCTGGCCCCATGACACTCTACACATGTCTCGATATGTTAGTGTTTATATAGCAATTTTAATTAATGTATTCTAAATAGTGTGTAATTTTTCCTTGATGCACATAATCAGTGTCAATTTGATATGGTAAGACTATTTTTATTAATTTTGAAGAAAATTATATTGATGGAGATGCATTTACTCTTCTCAAAGATGCAAACCTGCAAAATATGATTAAGAGTGAAGGTCTTCGACTGACATTTAACATCGCCAACTATTTTGGACATTGAGCCTGTGATGTACAAGCGGATGCTCATTAGCATAAACAAATTTGCAATATAAATACATAGGAATGGCCATAAACTGACAATCTAACAACAACAGAGTATATTTTTGAATTTGTGCAAATGCAATAGTATTCGTGCATTAATAATTCATCACTCAGTAAAAAAACAAAAGTTAAAAACCTGAATTTACCTTTATTTGAGATTCATGCCTGCCACTAGTGAAGGCCCATTACATTGCTTAGTATAAACACTAAAATGCATCTGAACTCCAACTTTTATTGCTTAATTTTGGAAAATCCATTACCAAATTGTCATCTGCGCAAATGATAGGCAAAACTTAACTGCCATGATCACCTGCTTACAAAATATCGTTTCTCAATTTGTTTACTTTGCCATCATGCTTATACATTCATTGGCTGGGAAACCACAACAGCTATTGCCAATTACAGCGGCCCCAATAGTTGTACAGAAACAATTTACAAGGTATACTAAACACACACAACAGACAATACTTGAACAACAGTCATTACATTTGTCTAAAAGCAGCATGTCAATGGAGAGTTCATTAAACTTCGAGCGGAATTACATTTTATACACACACTTTTCCATGTCACTAACATTACTAACATTTTCCATGTTTCCTAACCCTAATCCTATCCTCTTACGGAAAGCAAAAGAAAAACGTTGCAAAAAAAGTTTGCCGAAAGTCACTCATTTGGACCCTATAAAATTGGAAATTAAACGAGCCTTACCTGGAAGGTGATGTTTGATGATAATTCTACCAAGTCCGTAGTTGTACTGAGGGTTAACATGAGATGCACGCTGTGTGTTGCCATGAGTCAGACTTGGTTGTGGACGCAATTAAAAGATGTTTGTTAGAACCACGGGCGGGGAAAGTAGGGAAGGGCATGTTAACCCTCAGTACAACTACGGACTTGGTAGAATTATCATCAAACATCACCTTCCAGGTAAGGCTCGTTTAATTTCCAATTCTACCAAACCGTAGTTACATACTTCCGGTTAACATGAGACTTCAAAGCAATTGTGTACACAACCAACAGCACAAACATGTTATGCAAAAACATTTATTATTGTAACACGGCATTTTGAAACAGATTTTTGTCTACAATAGGTTTATTATGTTTTCGAAACACACAGTCTGATGACCATCCCACATGTTTTAGTATCACATCAGCTGGTAGAAAGGTAGCAACTTTGCTTACATTCGCTGCCCGAGTACTGTGGCCTTAAATATCGAAGTATCGATTCCACTTAAAGTAAGTAATTGTTTGATCCATCTGCTTAGCGTATTGGTAGTAACTGCACCATGAGGCTTTACATATGAAATAAGCTGT